TAATTTATAATTATAATTACTTTAATGGATTTAATAATTTATTAAAAAGTTTCTTCTAAAATATAAAAGGAAATTTTAAAGTTTGCTAAGTGAACAAAAAAAAAGGCTTTTATTTTGAATATGAAAGCTATTAAACGATTTCATTTCCATCTTTCCATTAACTTTAAAAATGTTTTTTTTCCCCTCCCAGCATTAGCAAAAACAACAACAAGAACAACAGCAACAACAACACCTTCTTGAAATTACTTGATGAATTAATATTAATTATTTACTCATTTATTTTATTTACCTGTCTTTCATAAGTTCATACAAATTTTCTTGCATATATTCAAAAACGAAGTATAAGTTGTCATGCTCACGGATTACTTCGCGTAATTTAATAATATTTGGATGGTTCATTTTTTTCAATGATTTCACTTCTCGTAATGCCATCGCTTCACTCCATGAATAAAATTTTCTTTTCATTCTGAAAAATTAAAAATCATTCATAAAACTATTTTACAAAATAGCAATAATGTAAATACAAATATTTTATGATCAAATAATTTGATGATGGAAATATATTTTAAAAAAAAGTACATTTAACTCTAACTTCTTTTTTCAAATTCAAATTTAAAAATAAATCAAATTTTAAATTATAACATAAAGGAACCTTTTAATGGCTACTTTATCACCAGTATCAAGTTTTTTAGCGAGCAACACTTCGCCAAATGTTCCATCACCGAGGCGTTTCGTCATTAGATATCGATCAGCTAATATTTGACCCATTGAAGTAGCCATATATCCTGTATACATAAATGAATGAATAACTTCTGTCCTTTATTCTTCTACCTAAAAAAAAAAAATAAAAAAAAAATTAATTGTTTGTAAAAATTGAATAATCATGGAAGCAACAGCAGGCTGTATTATCGATGTTAAAAAAAAAAAAAAATTGCATTCATTTTTTTCGATAACCGTCTCGACGATAAATTTTCAACGATATAATCAGGCGCAATAGACAATAACGATGGAAAGGTTTTAATTATATTGCTCAGTCAAATCTTTCACAGGTATATTTTAATAATCCCCTCCCGAATGACATTATTGCTTCATTTCATTCATTTTCGTTTTATGTAAATTAGTATTAAATGGCTTTTTTTTTTTCCATTCATACTACACATTAAACATTAACCATACATTGTAAATTGACCAAAATAATAAGTGAAAATATCGAATTAAAGGAAAAAAAAAAAGAAAAATAAGATTTAAAATAACGAAGAAATGAATATTTTCCAATATTTTTGAGTTAATTTTGACAACGATCCAAATATGCTTTCATACCTGCAATATTTAAAGTAAGCACTCACACACACTCACACACACACACACACACACACACACACACA